AAGTGAAAAGGAAATAGGAGAATTGTAAGACTAACAGGAAACCTCTTGTACATTCAAAAGCAGTTCATGGGCCAGGAACCAAGGACCCTCCATTTGACTTAGGGCCACATCATCTCAGCTTCTTCTTTTTTTTTTTTTCTTTTCCTTCTTCTTGGGGGTGGAGGGGCAGAGGGAGAGAGAGAGTCTCAAGCAGACTCCACGCTGAGTGCAGAGCCCAACACAGGACTCGATCTCACAACCCTGAGATCACGACCTGAGCCGAACCCAAGAGTCAGGCGCTCAACTGACTGTGCCACCCAGGAGCCCCTTGGGAGAAAGAGAATCTTAAGCAGATTCTCACTCAGCGGGACCTGGGTGGCTCAGATGGTTAAGCGTCTGCCTTCGGCTCAGGTCATGATCCCAGGGTTCTGGGATCGAGTCCCACATCGGGCTCCCTGCTCCTTGGGAGCCTGCTTCTCTCTCTCTCTCTCTCATGAATAAATAAATAAATAAAATCTTTAAAAAAAAAAAAAAAGATTCCGCACTCAGCGAGGAGCCTGACTCGGGGCTCAATCTCACAACCCTGAGATCATGACCTGAGCTGAAATCAAGAGTTGGATGCTTAACTGACTGAGCCACTCAGGCGCCCCATCAGCTTCTTTTATGTCTGCCTCATTCTTTCTCTTTCTCTCAGTCTACCTACTCTGCTTATTTATCTTGCACATGGTTAAAATATGCCTAATCCCTTTTTTTTTTAAAGATTTTATTTATTTGACAGAGACACAGCGAGAGAGGGAACACAAGTGGGGGAGAGAGAACACAAGTGGGGGAGAGGGAGAAGCAGGCTTCCCGCCGAGCAGGGAGCCCAATGCGGGGCTTGATCCCAGGACCCCGGGATCATGACCTGAGCCGAAGGCAGACGCTTAACGACTGAGCCACCCAGGCGCCCCCCCAATCCCTTTCTTGACATCAAAATCTTTTACTTCCAGCATCTGTTATTGACTAACTACATCCTCTCATTTTTTCAGTTTAAATGCTTAAGAGAAAGAGAGGCTCTACTATTTAGTAGCTGGTCAGGCAGTTCACTGGCTGGTTTAGATTAAGTATCCGCCCCAGTCCAACTAGCCATCACTCCTAAGCAAGAACTCCCCACCTCCCGCCCCTACCAGAGGTGTCTCCCTGCACTGGGAGCTCTGGGGAGAGCTATCTAAACCAGAAGAAGAAATAGACTGACATGTCCCATGCTCTATAGAACCATTAGACTTCCAGGGACCATTTGGTGTGTTCCATACACATTTGGGAAACAACTTCTGGTCTGTTTCTCTGCTTCTAAGAAGGATTTCCCCAGAGCTTTCTTCTGAAAGAGCTATGATATCCTGAAAGGAGTTGGTCCTCAATCAAATGCTGACTCTACCACTTCTGAAAGTGAGCTTCAGTTTGTCACCTGTAGAATGAGGATAATAGCACCCATCTGTTGTCTGGACATAAATGAGATAATGCAGATGCTAGTCTCTGCTTGGCACAAAGCAAGAACTTAGTAAATGGGATTTCTTTAATTACTTTTGATATTTTATGAATATTCCATAACAGAAAATTATTTGCAGTGCATTTTTACTTATTTTTTAATTACACAAGTGATATATGAATGTATCTGAATATTTAAAAGCAATTCCTAGACATTATATTAATTCAGTGTAAATATATTCACAGTAAATATTTTAGGGTGTGTTTTTAACAAAAAGTCTTTTTAAAAACACAGAACCACAATACCTAGTATATTAAAAATAATTCCTTAATATCACCGGTACTAAATCTATATTTGATTTTCCTCAGTAGTCTCAAAAGTATCTTTTTATGGTTGTTTGATTTGAATCAAAATCCAAAAGGAGTCCACACATTGCACTTAATATGTATTACACATCCCAGTAGGTCTATAACCATTCTCCTTCCTTTTTAAAAAATTTTTTTCTCCTTTTCTATGCCATGTATTTGTAGGGAAAAAAAATGGAGTCATTCCTGTAGAATTTTCCAATTTGGGATTTGACTGTATCTTCATCATTTAGCAGATTCTTTTATCCCTACGTTTCTTGAAAACTGGTACATAGATATAGAGGCTTAGTTAGATTCAAATTATTTTTCTGGCAAAACTAGAAAACTGTAATTTTTTATACTATCTTTTATGTTTAAAAGTTATGAATTTGAAATAGCAGCTCAACAGTTCCCATGGCATTTTGCACTTAGGAGTACAAGGTTCCCAAGAGAAAAGGAGGTAAGCCATTCACTCTGGTTTCTGCCTCATGCAGAAATGAGTCACTCATGCAGGAGTGAATCACCTTCACTTGGAGAATTAACAGTACTTATGACTGCTTTCTGTCAGAAAACGCAGATGGAAGTCATAATTACTACTTTATCTGTAATTGATTTATCAGAGATAGCTTTAGTCATATACATCTTTGGCTGAAGATGTTCACGTACCTTTAATTAAAGATATAAATTCCTTGCCTACATTCTAAACTAGGAACAAAAATGTCTGAGATGACTAGTGAGTAGAGAAAGTGCCAGAAGAAAATAAAACTTCCTTCGAAATTTTTATGTTTTTCTGTAATTGTTTAAAATGAATCAATACAATCTATGGATGGAAAAAGCAAACTGAGGTACACTGAAGCAGGACTACAGTATTGTTCTGGAGTGCTGGGGATGCCCATTAAATAAGAGCCCTCTCTTCTCTACCTGTGTTAGGAACAGAGAGCTAGATAAAGAAATCGAGAACAATAAAAATAATTTTTTCTATGCCTGATAAAGCTATTGGAGAAGTGACTTAGGTCCACAGCAATAATGAACTTGCAAACACCTGATCTCCTACATTACATGTGCCATTCCCCTAGTCAGGGACAACCATAGGCCTCTCTGAGCCCAGAGTACATGCCAGATTCTTTTTCTCAAACTCACCTCTTAATAACTCACTCCCCTTTCCCTGGAGGGAGGCAGAAAGTGAGTGAGGAATCAGGGTGCAGCAAAGAGTGGTAACTCAATGGAAGCTTAATCAACATGGAAGTAAGTAGAAACAAGTGTTCCCCCATCACCGAAGTCCATCATATAAGAGTATCAGTGGTAGAACCAGTTTTAACACAGCATTTTCAGCAATGAACACCCTCACATTTAGTTGGTCCCAACACACATCAACTTCCCCACTATCGCAGCTCATGTTCGACTGAACAAATATTTGCCAAGATAGAAGACACTCTTTGCCCACCAGAGGCTCATCCTCTAGTGGGTTCTCAGACAAGTGCACACAAAACTGGTGTGCACCCCACTGTGCTAGGCGTTGTACGGGGAGTTGTGGCAGACATTGAGCTGCTCTGCTCAGATATCCCTTGAAGAAAAGATTCACTCTCCAGCTGCAGGGACTGTGGTGAGCTGACAGCCTCCAGTTGTTGGTTCCTTCAGAGCCCACTTCTGCTTTCAAGCTATGGTCAATGCTCTTCTTGGACAGTTCCTCAGTTCCTGCTCAGTGACTAAACCAGATAGTAACTAAGGTCACACTCTTTTTGGGTGGCCCCAGCCCATGACTAGCAAAGTGGTGATATAAGGGCCTGGCCATTTCCACCCAAGACAGGACTCCTCCGCTGGGCAATCTCTGTTACCAAGCTTCCCATTAGGCTGGCATAGGGTGACCAGCTGTCCTGGTTTGCTGGGACTGAGAGATTTCCCAGGATGTAGGACTTTCAGTGCTAAAATTGGGCAATTTCCAGACAAATTAGGATGGCTGGTCACTTTCACTGGTGTAGACCTTGTCAGGTCTGCCTCAGGGTCTGACAGCTCCCTTCCATCCAATCTTGTGTCCTTCCCTTTGCCTTTCACAGGTATTACTCCCCAATAAACTTTTTGTCCCCCTGGTTTCATCTCAGTGTCTGCTTCCCAGAGCATCCAAGACAGGGGCCCATATAGCACAGAACCCAGGAGGGACCTGAATACTGCAAGAGATGAGACTGAAAGAGAGAAGGAGGGCAGGGGAAGATTAATTTGACAATTACGGGGATGCTCCTGGTATAACTTTTTCAGTGGGCTATTTGTCCTGCACCCTTTGAAAAAGCGAAGAGGCATATGTAAATACTCAGACTTCAGGTTCCCTAAAAGGCATTTGAATACTCAAAACGAAGGCTTTGCCAAAACAGACAAATAAACAAACCCAACCTTCTTGTCCCTGTGTCCTTCTTTAGTTTTTTTAAAAGATTTATTTATTTGAGAGAGAGAGAGAGAAAGAGTGCAAGCGGGGGGAGGGGCAGAGGGAGAGAGAATCTCAAGCAGACTCTGCCCGTGCTGAGTGTGGAAACTGACTCGGGGCTCGATCCCGTGACCCTGAGATCATGACCTGAGTCAAAACCAAGGGTCAGACGCTTAACCCACTGAGCCACCCAGGTGCCCCCCCACCGTGTCCTTCTTTAAACATGCTTGTTACTGGGGCGCCTGGGTGGCTCAGTTGGTTAAGCGACGGCCTTCGGCTCAGGTCATGATCCTGGAGTCCCAGGATCGAGTCCCGCATCGGGCTCCCTGCTCGGCGGGGAGTCTGCTTCTCCCTCTGACCCTCCCCCCTCTCATGTGCTCTCTCTCTCTCTCATTCTCTCTCTTTCAAATAAATAAATAAAATCTTTAAAAAAAAATAAAAATAAATAAACATGCTTGTTACTAATTTCTATGATTTAAGAAGAAAAATGAAAGGAGCTTCAGCTTTTCTGCAAAGTATTCTTAAACTCAGGAGAGATTGTGGGTGAAGAAATGGGAACACATCCTTCAGAGCCAGGACTAGGATAAGGAGAGCAAGGTACTCAGGTATAACATTTAGGGAGGCCCTCATTGTCATGGTTTTGTGAGTACAGAGTCCGCACCTGCATGAACCTGAGAGTGAGCACCTCCTTAAATAGTGCACCCAGCTGCCTGGCTTGCCTCACCCTAGTCCCAGCCCTGGCATCCATAATAGTATTAGGCAACTTACACACTACATTGGCTCTTTCCTGCCCCAGGTACAAAGCCATCGTCCGGCCAATGGATATCCAGGCCTCTCACGCTCTGATGAAGATCTGCCTCAAAGCTGCATTGATCTGGATTATCTCCATGCTTTTGGCCATCCCAGAGGCTGTGTTTTCTGATCTACATCCCTTCCATGAGGAAAGCACCAACCAGACCTTCATTAGCTGTGCCCCATACCCACACTCTAATGAGCTACACCCCAAAATTCACTCCATGGCTTCCTTCCTGGTCTTCTACATCATCCCACTGTCGATTATCTCTGTCTACTACTACTTCATTGCTAGAAATCTGATCCAGAGTGCTTACAATCTGCCTGTGGAAGGGAATATACATGTCAAGAAGCAGGTGGGTGCTTAGGATTGATTCATTTCCTCTTTAGGGCTTGGATCTCTTTTGCATGCCACTGGCAAGTACATTATTTAGGTGGTCACGTCACCTGATTCTGCAATTAGAGGAGGTGGGTGATGGTAAATGGAAACTCCTAACCACAGAAGCCCAGGAATTCAGGTGTTCTTTATAATCTTGTTCTCTTACTAAAGACCTAAGCTAGGGAGGTGTGGAGAATCTGAAAGATTTGAAGGATGGGTTTCTTTTTGAGAACTATCTGAAAAAGTATTGTTAACAAAATAAAATATTGAGATTCATAGGGATGTGACGTCTTTTTTTTTTTTTTAAGATTTTATTTATTTATTCATGAGAGACAGACAGAGAGAGAGGCAGAGGGAGAAGCAGGCTCCCAAGGAGCAGGGAGCCCGATGTGGGACTCGATCCCAGGACCCTGGGATCATGACCTGAGCCGAAGGCAGACGCTTAACCATCTGAGCCACCCAGGTGCCCGTGGGATGTGACGTCTTTAAACTCCAGTCACATTGTTTGGATAGGAAGAGAGTTACCACATGGGGACAAAGCAGAGGGAGCAGGAAAATAAGGCTGGTTGAAGAAACAGAAGTAGTTTGATTAAGACAGACTCACACTGATTTGGGTTCAAATCCAGACTTAATGACTAACTCACTCTCTCTGAACCTCAGTTCTGTTACCCATGATATAGGGTGATAACCCCACTATTGTAAGGCTGTGTGACGATTAAAAGACAGAGCATATGTGTGACCTAGAATGCCCAGAATGCAGAATGCCCTCCGTATGTGTTAGACTCCCTCCGCCATCCCCCATAACGCTGCATAATTTCAAACTTCAGGTATGAATAGCAGAAACCAGGGGCTCCAGCTTTCTCCTCTTTGTCAGTGCTTGCTTTCTAATCCAAATGTAGATCATGTGGGATTTATGATGGAAAAAGCAGAAAGACTCCCCATCCGTTTAAAGGTACAGCTTACTCAGTTGGTGGCTTCACCCTATAAAGTTCCTTTTTTTTTCTTTTTGCCTCAATTACGAGAGTAGCAGTTCTCAGTGAAACGGTCTCCATATTTGAAAGACCTCTCAATAGCGAACATCCATTGTACCTCAAATTCTTTAATAAGAAAGATGTTTCCCCTTTGCAGAAGTGGCAGAGGGTGTTGGGAGCAAAAGGAGATGCTCAGCCCACTTTGTCTAAGGACCTTCCTGTATAGTATAGCCCAGAAATAACTTGAGATAAAAAAATAATAATAATAGGAAGTTATTTTGGTTTGGCCAATGAGAAAGAACAAAGCTGGCTGCTTCTTTTGAGCATCAGAGGAAATAAGAAATGATTAACTGTGGAGCCAAGAAAGATGTGAAGTCATAGGGCTGATAAACTGCACCAGTGTTCTCCTGAGGAAAAAGAGGTCACTTACTAAAATTTCATTGTGCAAGCCATTCAAGCAGGTAATCAACTTTGTTTAAAGATCTGTTCTCAGTGGCACGTTCTAACTATATTCTACTTCATGGATTTCTGCTTCCTGGCTTTTCCATTTCTGTGTTTCTGACTTTCCCCCCTTTTATGCCATCTGTTTCTGTTGCTTTCCTCCCGTTTTATCGGATTTTCTCTTGTCCTCTTTCTCCTGTTGAACTCTTTTTCTGTGGCTTTGTGAGCTCATCTATTTCCCCAATTCTTTTTCCCTGTTTTTCTTTGCTGTCTGAATCGTTGTCTCTCTGCATTCATCCCACACCGTCCCTTGGTCCCTCTGTCTCCATGTGTGTGACTCTCTCGTTAGATTGAATCCCGGAAGCGCCTTGCCAAGACAGTGCTGGTGTTCGTGGGCCTCTTTGCCTTCTGCTGGCTCCCCAACCACATCATCTACCTGTACCGCTCCTACCACTACTCTGAGGTAGACACCTCCATGCTCCACTTCATCACCAGCATCTGCGCCCGCCTCCTGGCCTTCACCAACTCCTGTGTGAACCCTTTCGCCCTCTACCTGCTGAGCAAGAGTTTCAGGAAACAATTCAACACCCAGCTCCTCTGTTGTCGGCCTGGCCTGATGACCCGCTCTCATAGCACTGGCAGAAGTACCACCTGCATGACCTCCTTCAAGAGCACCAACCCCTCCGTGGCCACCTTCAGCCTCATCAATGGAAACATCTGTCATGAAGGGTACGTCTAGGCTGCTCCTTGACCCTGTCACCCCAGGGGTCCCAGGTTTTGCTTTATGGCTAAAGAACCCTCACATCTGTTGTTGTCTCTATACCCTCCAAAGACCCTTTGGTAGGCTATGAGTTTGTAGGCAGGTTGCAGAGAAGCCCAAATGGATTGCTGTGATGTTTGAAAGGCGCATCGAGGCTTATGTTTTCCATTTCAACTTCTGAATGCTTCTTCTGATGTAGAGCCAACTCTCCCCTTTTTAGAAAAGGGAATAAGAAATTATTCTTTTAAGCATCAAGTCCTGATATATGGCTATGGCCAATTAAGTCATAGAAACTCTATGAGCCACCAGATTTATATAGCTGAAAAATTATACATTAAATGTCCACTTTGTGAAAGACTTCACCTTGTCATTTCTTAAAGCAGAAACTAGCGCTTTAAAAATATGATTTGAATAATTTTTCAGGAATATTTATAATTACAAACCAAGGAACTGTTTTTTACACTCCTAACATGAAAGCCAACCCTATGAAAAAGTCCCATGTATGAGGGACCATTCCCAAATTGATAACACTGGAAGCCAGTTTAAAACAAATCCCTGAGTGTTGATTGTTTTTAAAAGATGTTACTGGGGACATAGGAGAAACACTCAACACATCATTTTAAGGCAAAAATACAACCAAACACATAGACACACTACAAAGATCCATGTGAGGCTGTGGATTGATATCTCACACTCTGAATTCTAACTCAGTGGAGATCCTTTTTGCTGTTTCCCCATTTCAATCATCCATGGCATAGTTAGTTCTATCATAGAACAGAAATCCTTGTGGGAAAAAACTGATCATACTCTCAATTCATTATTTATAAGTACATAAAGTATAGTATTTATTTTTGGTATACAGATTTTCAGCCAAATGTATCTACTTAGATTTGGCTGTCCTTGTCTGCTACATTGAAGCAGTAATTTCTTATGGAAAGAAAAAGGAGGGGGGAATCACATCTGAGTGGAAACAGAAACATGTTTACATTTAACACATTTAACATATGCTTACCTAAAGTCTGTGGGAGGAAATGAATAAAATTTCAGTAATATATATTTCTGTTTGAATATGTCTAAGTCATTTACAGGGGGCTTAGCTTTCAGAACGGATTGTAAAAGAGCTACAGATACATTAAGTTTCTAGTTAAGAATAGTATTTATGCAACAGCCGTGTGTAGAAAAATACAGGACTGAAATCTTATTTTTCTGAGTAAAGAGATCTGACGATCTTACTTTAGAAACCCTGAACCAAGTTTTTCTTGACTCCAGGATAGGCCGATTCTGACAGACTGCAAACATGTTAACCCACTTTCAGATAAACCCAGATTCTGCAAATGTGCCCTAAGGTGTATCCCTCACATCCAAAGACGATTTTAGTTCTGGTTTTCTCTGTCCAAGTGAGAAGGAACTGTCAGCTCTCTTTTCCACAGGGCCTGTATGAAAACACTTTCATCTCTCGATAAAAGGACGTGCTCACTGCCTGCAGAGCTTTAGAAGTTAGCACAGAGACCGTTGTAAAGACCTGTGTTTACAGCTGTATTAGCTGGAGTGAGACCTCTTCACTTCTGTCTGCTGCATGCACTTCTATACTGTACCCACCTGCTTTCCTGGTAGTCAGCCCATAATGACACTGGACAGTTTGAAAAGCAAGACAGGCAGTGTAGCTGAAAGGACCGAGATTTGTAGCTGGACATCCCAACTCTGCCTACGTATGAGTTTAGCTGTCAGCTTCCCTTCTCTCAACTCATTTTTTCATCTCTAGAAGGAGAGGACAGTACTAAAATCCCTCTATTGCGAAAATCCTTTGAGTCTTGTCATTGTTTCTAGTTCTGTCTCTAAAGCATTTACACAGCCCACCCGCTCACAGCTGCCCCACTTCTGCTACGTTTGCAACAACTCCTCTTGGGAGACCCTTCAACCCACCTTCTACAGTCCTGTTCACACTAGTGGAATGGAAGGAGACAGACACTGGAATAATTTGTATGAATCATGTCCCAGTAGCTTGTTATGTTTTGGAATTAAAGCTGAAAGACACATAAGAAAACATATTGCTCGATCTCCTCATTATACAAAGGGTACTTTTCCTGCTCACCTCCAACCTCCATGCACCTGTCATCATGAACTACTACCCCACGATTTTACCCTTGGATTTCTTCAAAACTCTTGAGTATGCAGTGACTTCGTACCTAGTTAGGGGCTGCAGTGTCTGGCATTCTGGGTACATAGTGTGACTTGCAGATCTCTGATCTACCTGCTTTCAAAGACATTTTGGGAGTAGGACTCGTCTTAATGTCTCCTTCAGGTAACATCGTGGCATAGATTGTGTCGGTCTCCTCCCTAGCTTCTGGACAAACAGTGAGGAGATTGAAGTCTAGGTCTAGCTGTGTGTCATGAGACCAATCTTATCACCTCTTTGGGACTCCTGAATGAAAGGGTTGGAGAAGGCCTCTGCCAGCCAGTGACCCAGAACTGGTAAAACTATTCTGTGAATCAGCTGAACGATGGACCCAAACCTTCTTATTGGGATGGACTTTGCCAGGCCCTTCTCTAGGGAAGTCAACTTCTTATTCCACCTCAAGAACCTAGAATTACGGTGAGAGACACCCCAGCCCCCACGTGATATCACCTCCCTGTTAGGGCAGAGTGTGGCAGGGGCTGGAGCTAAGACATTTCACGCCTGGCTTTCAAAGATAATCAGGTTTAGCACTTATGTCTTTGGTGAGGGAAAAAAATCAATTTTTGCCATGGAAAACCATCTGTGTTTATTCAATTGACAGACACTACCTTTCAGTCTATCTTAAATTGAGCCTCCCTGAGGCAGGCAGCTCAACAGTGATAGATGAAGCAATAAAGCAAGGCAGTCTTCCCACCAACGGCTGCTGCTGGCAGGGAAGGCACAGCTGCTGTGAGGAGCCATATTCTCCAGCAAGGTGGTCCTCCCTGCCTGGCGCAGATGAGGCCCCTCCCTGTTGGTGATCTGTTGGTTCCCCATAAATGTGGATGGCTAAACCCTGTTCTTCTGGCTGCCCTCACTCCCCCTCACTGAACCTGGCCTTCTGCCCCATTAATGAGCCCTGGATTTCCCTCTTTGCTACACAAACCATTTGGTTTCGGGTTCATCTTGAAGGATGGCGAACCCTTAAGTAGAGAAACAGTTTAGAGGCTGCTTCAGATGAACCAAACTCAGCTTGTTATGAAAATGCCCACTGGACAGAAATAAATGAACTTGTCCATAGGATACGGGCACACCGAAGTTATAAAGTCTTGGTTTACGCCAAAAGTACAGGTGGTTAGTGGTTTCAGAGTCTATTCATGTACCAAATGTCTTCTAGGAATAGAGAGTAGCTTTGTTTGGGGGCTACAAGTTGAATGACATCCTCAATCTGTGGACTAAAAGGTGGCTAAGTCACTTTCCCAAAAGCCAGATAGAAATGATCGCCCTGAGACCCTGACCATATGAGAACTGAATGAATAGTACTCACTTCTGTGGTGGTGAGGTGGGGGGTGGGGGGCTGAGGGGGTGGCAAACTTTCTTGCCATTTCTGCCCTTCACATCCAGGTCCCAGGGGAGCTGTTGTTAGAGGGTGGCTCTGAACTAACCCTGGGTTGCTGGGAGGACTAGAGCACATTTTGCACATTTGTCTAATGTTCAGCTGAATTTTCACAAAATGGATTAACAACTGAAAACAAAGAAATTATTCACTCTCCTGGGGCCAGGTTTTGTGTCAGCTATTCAAAGAAACAAAGCCCTAACAAGCTCTAGTTTATTCTGTATGTGACAGTCATTCCTCTCGGCTCCCACCTTGACAGTCCCCTCCAGCCCCCCACTGCCAACACAAACACAATAACTTTAGTATCAAACCACCTCTTATCATAACTTTGTCCTTCAAAGACACCCTTTTCTTAGGTACGGGCCACGCATGAACTCCAGCTGAATATATACAGCGCAGTCAATAAATCGCACACTGGGAACAGACTTTTCTTCTGTGAAACCGCACTAGAAATGCACTCAGTGGAATTTATCTAATTTTTTAAAAATTTAAGAGCCCCTGGGTTAAAATATCACATGTCCACGATTAATTCAAAAAATACTTTGCATTTACCTAGTGTTCATGGTCTATAAAACACTTTTACACTCATTGTCTCATCTAATCCAAGCCTTCCCTGCTGGCCAAAGAGCTGCTTAACAGTCTTTACTATGGAAATTTGTAAATGACATTTACTAGTGACCATCTATTAAAAGACCCACGCAACTATGAGGCTGAAGCATGCAGCTACAGATGTTGACCCGTATTTGACCTCCAAAAGGGTGATTTCATATGGTCCACCGTAATCTGATCTCATTTATAGTCACGGCCATTCTGTGATATTGAAGAACAGTGCTGATCATCACTTTCCTAGTTTACAGGATAGCCTGTGCCTGCAAAGTTGAGTCTGTTTAACTTGGCCTATGGCAGGGAACCAAGTCATTGTTGGTTTCCCCAGAGAGGCCTATTAGCTGGAACAGGATTCCATGTCACACTGAAGCGGAAATCTGTGTTTGTGTGAAACCGCAACGGAGTTCTGTGGCTCCAGAAGCGCCGGGAAGGGAGGGGCTCGACGTCACCAAGCACCAATGATGTGCCAAGTGCAGTGCTGAGCACATTTCTATTCTTCCTCACGAGTCCCTTGAAAAGCATTCAGATGATGAAGCTGAGGCTCAGGGAGATCACTTCACCATCCCAAGGTCACACGGCACAGTGGAATGGCAGAGTATTAATGTGGACCTGATCTCTCTTAAGACCCCGTCCATTCCACTGCTCAGCATGGCTTCCCAAATCCAGCCCATGTGAGAAATTAACTTCCCAGTATCTGATAGTCCCGTCCCTACTCTAGCTTTTGTCCAAAGGCATGAGCTACCGAGGAGGTTGAGGAATATACACAAAGGGCATGGAAGATGTTTCTAAGCACGTAAGTTAAGGACTCGCTGCAGGCAGAGACTGAAATGTAGCACAGAGTAGGTGGGCAAGGAAGTCCCTTCATTCAGTTGCCCTCAGAGACACAATTCAGTTGCAACTGGAAGCCCTGGGAAGAATTTCCCACTTGGTTCTGTGACTAACCAAGGAGAAAAAAAAACCTTGGCAAACAGCCATATACAGAGGATCCAAGTGAGAACAGTCAAGCCAGGCATCCTTCTTTCAATTAGGATTCGTTGGAGAACAAGTATTGGTAAAAGGTGGAACCCCTTCCCCATTCCCACCCTCCCCTGCCAAACAGTAAGATATGATAGCAGATGGTTTTCTGGAAGCCTGGAGACCCCGGCTACATGAATAGCCTTTTTTTTTTTTTTAAAGATTTTATTTATTTATTTGAGAGAGAGAATGAGAGAGAGAGAGAGCACATGAGAGGAGGGAGGGTCAGAGGGAGAAGCAGACTCCCTGCTGAGCAGGGAGCCCGATGCGGGACTCGATCCCGGGACTCCAGGATCATGACCTGAGCCGAAGGCAGTCGCTTAACCAACTGAGCCACCCAGGCGCCCTACATGAATAGCCTTTAAACAGAAAAATCTCTCCTGGACTAAGTTACGAGCTCAGGTATGGACTTAGGCATCTGAGTGCCTAGCCCTAGGTGCCCTGTTAAAAACACAGATACCATCGTGTCTCTGCCCATTCTGAGCTCACATTCTAGAAGGTAAGATTATTTCCCCTTTTTTCTCCAAATTTAAAATTCATTCCCAGAGCCATATAATGACATGGCAGGACTCACATAATTTTATGGTCGTTTAAAAGGATCATTTTAATGGACAGTAAAACTTCACACATTCAACACCTCATTAATTCTCAGATGAGCTTGAAAATTTTGGTATACCTCGGGATTTCAGTTGTTCAAGGTACATTATATAATTTAGGGCTGTTGTGAATCCATATTTTTTCACCACTTTGCTTCAGTTTTAGCCAGTGCTACTGATATATCGTTACTGATAATGTATAATAACATTAAGAAAGTAAAACTGACCAAAAAAAATTTCTTCCCCCCCTGTAATCTGGGGTTAACAGATTCAAACACGACCTTTCTTGCATCCAAGTCAGCAGAATTTTGGGTAATAAAATTTGTTGAAAAGGTCTGAGTTGTAAAAATACATGGCACAAACTTCTTTATGTCATTTTCTGTTTTGTTTTAAATATTAGACTCCTATTTTGTAAATTATAATTGTACTTGTTACTATTAACTGTAAATATTTATTGCATCACAAATGTGCTCTGTGTTAAATAAGTCAGAACAAGTTCCAGGTGTGGTACTTAGTATAAATAATGTCATGGCTTGGCTTTACCTAGACTCCTTAGACTAATGAATTATTTATAAGAAATTCACAATATTAATGTGAATGATTCAGATCCTTTTAAACGTGCAAACTTAACTGTGTGACCCTGTGAAATTCTGTCTATGAAGTGTGCTCAATGATTGTATTCTTGTTTTTCAAGACATGTTTCCAGTGCTTCTATCACATTGTACGTGATCTGTGCGACATTAAGTCAAATCAGTGTAGCTGAATATTTAAGTCATAGAAGATAAGAAATGTGTTTTATTTCTTAATATAATAAGGCATACTTTATTAAATGGACAGATGCATGTATTCGATGTTCAATAAAAATAAAAAGCTGTTGCATGGATATAGTCGGTGGCCATCTGCTCCGGGGCTCTTCTTCCGTTCCAGAACCATCTACATTAGAATCACCCAGGCTGCTTGTTGCAAAATGCAGATTCTCCCAATTCTCATTGGACTGGGAACATCTGGGGGTTTGGCCCAAAAGTCTGCATTTTAAAACAGGCTCCCCAGGTGATTCCTCAGATCACAAGGGTTTTGTTTCATTAAACTTTTACAGTATATATTTAACTTTTGAATAAGTAAGCTTTTCTCACGATCCAAAATCAAAAGCATAAAAAAGGTATTCAGGGAAAAGTCACGAGGCTACCTCACAGTTCCCAGCAGCCATCACCACTCCCCGCTGTTTTATGTGTACGCTACTGGACACTTCTTATGCACTTGCCAGGAAATACAAATGTGTGTTTTCCTGCAGCCCACCACCATTTTACAGAAATGGCAGCACATTGTATGCATTGTTTTGCCCGCTGTTTGCTTCACTACATACCATATCTTGGAAGTCTTTCCATATCATTATACAAAATTCTTCCTCATTCTTTCTTATATCTGCATAGCATTTACTTATTCAATCCCCCTTTGATGAACACTTAGGTTGTTTCCAGTATTTTGCTTTGATGAACCGTGTTGCAATGAATATATAATCTCACACATGAGCAAGTGTTGCTGTAGGAAAACATCTTAAATGTGCAATTGCAGAAATAAAGACCATATACTTTTATAATTTGACAGTTATTCCAAATTGCTCTCTTTAGGGCTTAAATACCAAAGTTTGAGAACCTCTGTTTTCTGGGATAATCCTAGTCATCAGAGAGCAGGAAAGCACGAAAGAAGTAACACAATTGGTTGCAAATGGGGGCTGTCGATGTTCCCTGCACTCCAGGTAAGAAGAGCATGCCTATCAGATATAGCGAAAAGATTCCTTGAGGCGCACACTGACAGCCATGCCAAGGAGGCCCCAGAGTGCAGGGCTGTATATAACCACGACCACGGGGTCTCTTGGGAGAAGGCTCTCTGGATGTATCACCCACCGGTTAAATCGCGAACACTGAAAGTGTCAATGTTTTAAATAGCTAAAAGTAGTGATTCATGATTGTGCCTAAAGTAGACCCTGCATCTCTAGTTTTCCTGGATTAGATGGGAAGATGAGCCGACTAAAATCTTTGAGACACCCAGGGTATAAAAATCCAATTGACATTTAAGGTTGGTCCATGTTAATTGCTGAGAGAAAGCCCAGGTGAATTTTCTTATCAGAAACTCTAAACTCTTTGTAAGCACGCTGCCTACCTTGTCAGAAAAGCAGCTTTATTGATGCGTAGATTGTAACATTGAGAATTTAATATTCTCTTTAAAGTCTTGGATTATTGAAGTTGGAAGATACCCCAGAGAATGCCCAGACACAACCGCACATCTCACAAATGAGGAAGTTAAAGAAAGTGTCATGATTTGGGTTTCCACTTGGTCATCAGGCTTTAGAAAAATGAAAACAATTGGCTTGGAGATGACATGGGTGAGGAGAGGTTCATCAGGCCCTTCTGCTAGAGGGAAGGTAAATCTATGCATGGCTATCTGCTAACACATCAGGCAGAGAAACTTCCTGGTCACTCGGCTCAACATTGATAAACTTTGGCTTCTACTATGAGATATCAGATAACATCAAGAAAATGACACAAAGGCAGGCGTCTTGTCCCTTGAATATGGACTGAACTGTGTTCAATATTATAAAAATGAAATTTTAAGAGCACAATCCCCCCTGCTTCCCAGAACTGAGATCAGGGAAGTCAAGCATTTTGCTCCAGGTCACTTGTCAACTATGACATCTACCCAGTACGTTTC